TTAACAATAATTTAGTTCATTAATCTGCTTAATCTGCTTAGACCTACCTGTTTATTGTTTGAATCCAGAGCTTGACTTCCGAAGATTCTTACAGCTTTGTTTAGGTGACATGTAAAATATCAGCAAGTTTTACTCAGTGAGATCAGACAATATTAGAAGAAGAGACACGCTGCATGACAACTCAGAAATACGAGTTATTATCTCTTCTAAGCGTCTGATTTTCTGATTTCATTGAATAAAGCTTGCTGATATTTATATACCACGTAAACTCAGACTTCAAGAAGTCAAACTCTGGGGTCAAACACATGCAACGCACTTTTAGTAATATAAGAATGTCTGCTCAAAGAATACCAAATCACACCAATGGCAATTACTGAAGTAATTTTGACCCGATATTTGATTTAGTAGATAATACAGCAAGCCCCTTGTTCCCTTCGGGACTGACATTTCGATTTCGAATAAGCAGATAACTGCGTTTAAGTGCTTTCATTACGATGATCAGTTTGTTAGTGTTGCCCAAGATTTCATCATTAATTTTGTTGGAGAATTGAAGGTACCTCATTGATGGGAAAGAGGAATACCAACAATTTTAGTAATTCTTAAATTGTTTATCGTATGAAATTTGTTCTGAATATCGATCTGTTCGCAAATTTTGAAATCTTTCCACCGTTTTGTTCCTTGACGGCTTATAAGAATAAATTATCAAGCTTATTAGTTATTCTACATCTTACTTTTATCAATTTTTGGCTACTTGCCGGTAATTAATATTACGAGCCACGAAGACATTATTAGCATCGCATGTCTTTATGCGCGATGTCTCTTGATGTTTAGAAATTCTATGCTTCTTTATATAAACCAAAAAGACAATTAACAAAGTCTGTTTGATCCTTCATCCATCCCCTTAAAAATCTCATAAAAGATTATTTATCGTTTTATAACTTCAAATGGATTCAAATATCTGTCAATTATAATACACCTGGTATTTGACAAATGATGAGCTGTTGTTGTTGTTGTTGTTGTTGGTAAGTGTTTAATGGCGTTCATTCAGTAATGAATATATACGCCATAAATATCTTCAATTTTATAAGAAAATCAGTTATAGTCTTCATAAGAAAACTGAGAATAAAGATTTGTAATGAAATAATTAATTAATAAGTAACGCAATTTATTCAGAGTCTCTGGATGGTTTGCAACTTCGTGTTTCTGCTTTTTTAAAGTTTAATCTGGTCAGCCCGGTTTCGATTGCATGAAAACTAGCTTTGCCCGATTTGAAACAGGCTTCTCGGCTACTCGGCGGCGTGTTGAGCTGTTACTTTTGATACATTCTCTCTTTCCTGCACCAAAATATACAAAAAGGCTATATTTTTTTTATATGACCGCATATGTCATGCATATTGAGCACTTGGACTTGCCTTGATAAAGTCATTGCTCCACTTCTAAATGCTATATTTGGACATGTTAAATCCGTCAACATAGATAACTCGATCAATCTTTGACGACGACCTCCCACCTTCCCTCGCCCCCTTCACAATCCTCCTACAAGTTCATTCCCATTAACCCGCGGTTAAGCCAAAAATGTTTGTAGGAACGATTAGGTACACCCACCTTAAACAAACAGATCATGTTCATAGGGATATTATGACATTGGTTAATGGCAAATCAACCCAGAGGGTTGGGTCTTAAACATGCCCTTCTGTCTATTATCGTTGGTTTATCTACTAAGCAAAGAAGTCTTAAATGAATTATAAAAGGTGTGCATCGATATAACACAAAATGTTGTCTTTATTCATCATAGTATATGTATCTCTCTCTCTCTCTCTCTCTCTCTCTCTCTCTCTCTCTCTCTCTCTCTCTAAGTGCCATATCGTTTGACTTTGGCGATCATGCTGTTCCACAACCCTCGGCTCCTAGCCTTCTGTATTAGTACCACTCCCAGTTCTTTCACTCCTCTCTCTTCCAACAATTTCTGCAGACTGTCCATCCAAAGTATCCTCCATCTTCCCCTACTCCTTCTTCCCACAATTTTCCCTGTCAAAGCAAGATTCTCTAGGCCTTCTTTACGTGTAATGTGACCCATGAACTTCAACTGCCTAATCAACATCTCACGTATCATTTTCCTTTGCACTCCAGCTCGTGTAAGAACTTCCTCATTACTAACTTTGTCAGTCCAGGGGATTTTTTTGGTATATGTATACCAAAATGATAAGTCAAGGAAGTAATGTCTCTGTATTTTACATAGTTATGATGTTGATCAAAAGAATTAGAGGACAAAGGAGCAAAAGAAGATGACCGAAGAAAGAGAAGAGGAAATGAAAAGTAGCAATAATAACATGAATGAATAGAAGAGGAAAAAGAGGGAGGAGGAGGAGGAGGCGGAGGAAGAAGGATAAGAATAAGAAGTAGCAGTAGAAGTAAAAGTAAAAGAAAAAGAAAAAAAATGAAAAGAAGAGAAGAAGACGATACATGACTATGAGCTGAGAGAGGAACTTTATGGAGACCCGATCTCTAGATAGCACGACCTCACATGACCTTTGAACGACGGTCATGTGACCTAACTTTAATCACTAAACTTGAGCTTGACAGACCTGTTGACATAATCCCAATCATAAAAGTCCAGTTTTGGACAAAAATATCAATCATGGCCATATCTAGAAATTAAATGCACTGCGTTGGCGTGAAGAGTTTGACAAGAGGAGTTTAGCTATCATCCCAATATCCTTTGGGATTTACAAGTTTATTCAGAAGCAGAGTCAGGATCGTCGTAATGTTTGAAAATCCTTGTCATGCAGCAATATAAAAGGAGAAAACGTATATTGCGGGGGGAGAGTCATATTATTTTCTCAAACTGGACGGAAATTATAGGCCTACACACCCAACCGAAAAAAATCCAGTAGATATTATCTACTGGGGGGTTTTCCCGGGTTTTTTCGGTTGGGTGTGAAACAATATTGTTCAGGTATAGGCCCGAGGTAGGCTAACAAAGTTCCTAAAATACTCTGAATACATGTTGCTCCAACTGATTTACAAAAGAAGAACAAAACAAAAAAGAAGAAAGAAAGAAAAAACAATGTACGTAAGAGCGAAGTTTGGGAAAGGATGGTGTTATTTTCATTCTGAAGCACATAAGAATCTTTTACGGAAAAGCTGGCTGATAACGAGGTAAGTCAGTCACAAGCGGGCGTGATACCAAATCAGTAACAAGAGCCATACACACTCAGTAACTAGAATTTTTCTTCTTCAGAAACATGACATAAGTAATGTCGTAGCGGTCATGCAGTATCATGGTACCATGATTTGAAGAAAAAGAAAATACATAACATAAACAAACCAAACAATAAACAAAAAAATGATTATTTGAACAGGAAATATGATGGGGTGGGGGTAGAGGTACTCGGTTATTGCGGTATACGGGGAAGTGTCGCTCTAAAATGGGTTACTTGTTTGCAAAAAGTCCCTAAACATGGGATATGATTTCGTGCTGCAAAATCCCTAAAAGTGCCCCCACTTTTCTGATCTTGGCTTACTATGGGTTACTATTTTCTTCAGGATAATATCTCACCCGTAATCTCGCTAAAGTGAAATTTATTTTCACACAGATTTATAATTTAGGCTCCGCTTCTGACTAATTTATGAACAGGTAACCCCCCCCCCCCCCCTCCTCAGAAAATACTCATTCCTCTTTTCTTTGACCTGACAGTATCTGAATTAACGGCATAAAAGCAACTTATTGTCATTGTTTGTTTAAAAAAAAAATGTTATTAACATTTTAAGAACGACCAGAAGAACTTCAAGTCCACCTCTTGAAACATACGCATAATCATGCTATAATAAATATTTATTTAAAAAAAAAAAAAACAAGCCATTGTTTGATTTTAAAGTATTAGTAAGATGGACTTTTAAGTTTTGTTAAAGAACAGCCTCCTTTTGACAATATAGGCATATGATACGTTCACCAATAGGGAATGTCGCTATACTTTCCAACGATACAGCAGAAATGTGCTCCTATTCGAAGGTTCAGTATTGTATTTAATTCGTTTAAATATGAGTGTCTAGATTAAAAAAGTCATACTTGTAAATTGTCAAGGGACCATGACCTTGAATACCTAATGAGTATTTGTTATGCTTGAGTAATAATATCGCTAGCATTCAAACACGTACCTGCATGAAGACAAAGCACGTTTTTAACCGTAAAACTCTCCGTCATACGATAAAGTCACTATGTGACTGAAAAAAGGGTCAATTTGGTTACAAAATGTAATCATATGTATAATACCACAAGTAGGCAAGTTTCAATACTGTAAAGACCTCAGTGTTGTCTCACTCAATACATTAAGCCTATCAGTTCAGATTATGCTTTAATCATGTTAATGCATTCAGGAATGTGTAGTATTAAACTGGTGAAGGACAATATTACCCCATCTCTTCGATGTGCGTCTATTACTAAAAGTCAGGCGTGTATCACTTTTTGAATTTTGAGAATGAAAGGTATCAAACAACAAACTTGGCACAATATGGTATGAGCAAGAAATGCAATCAAGAATGTAACCTATGGAACCAGTCGAGAATTCAGAAAATACCAAATTCCTCATTTCTTTGATATGTCAGTGTCTGAATTTAATAGGCAGCTTAGTATCATTAAAACAACATTGCATTTACCGATATCGATTGTTCAAAGATATCTGGAATCCCAAAAGCTTTCATATAACGTAACGTTTTGAGTAACCTCTCATCCCGGGGATTAAAACACATTAGCCTACTGACAAAAAAAAACATAACATTGAACAAATTAAGATTTTTTCTTCAAAAAGAAATCTCAATTCTCATAACGGAAACCCAGCTATATTCAGGTATTCTGAACTTTATCTGAAGCTGTCTCGCAGATCGTACAGATATCATATAAGCCCATAAAGTGCCCCGCCTTTATATTACCCTGCCTTCCCTCAACAACACACTGGGAACGATTTTTATTTTCCCTCTTGAATTTGTCTCATCAGTGCACCCTTATCGTTTACCGTCTTCTACTGCTGGAAAGTCTTCACGAAAAGGCTAGAAAACAAGAGGAAATAACTAGAAATGGAGGCAAATTTGATATTATTTGCTTTTGGTCTTCTTGTAACGGCATTTGTCTTCATTTTACTTGGGATTTATCTCTATATTTCGTACATCCGGAGCATTTACAGTCACATTCCTCGTCCGAAACCTCTTCAGTGAGTCAGAACAAGAATTCTATGTTAGCCTAGGCCTACGCCAGCGCGGCCCGGGTTCGCGCTCGCGGCCAGCCGTAGGCGGGCCGAGAAGGCATAGCCGCCCGTAGTGTAGCCACACTGCATTACTGTGTATTCAAAGCTGTTTTATTCATGATTCTCAACATTTCAAACACCACTGCACAAAACTCAACTGATTTCACTCCAAATTGATACTTTAGTGACAATTGATGACAACTAAATAGTCTAGATCTAGCAGTAGCACTACTACTAGCACTAGACCGAATTTTTATGTCTCTTTCGTTTTCGTTCGTTAGCCTGGGTAGGGTCGGCTCTCTCTTTAGAAGAGAGAGCCGACCCTTCCCAAATCAGACATCAGAGGCTAACGAACGAAAGAGACAGAAAAATTCGGTCTATACTAGCACTAGCACTAGCAGGAGGTCTAGTAAGTGATGACTGATGTTGATGTTAAAAATAAAAGAATTAAAAAATTCAAATGGTTAAAATGTTAAGTCCAGTGACAAGTGTCAAATTTGCCAATCAGCCACATCTGTATTATTTTGTGCATTACTATGCAATAGTGTGTGGTGTGTGTATTTGTGTGTTTTACTAGCCTTAAGACAAGGGCTCGGTGATTTATATCACCGAGCCTTAACCAGCTGCCATACAAGCGTCCAGAGATCGAGGCAGGAAAAACAAACCCTAAAATATGTTCCTAATCACCCCTTCCCCTCAACCAACACAAATTGCACACTTGCTTAAAAACTCTGATAAGATAGCAAGTTGAAAGTTCAATTTGATAATAATTATTACAATTCTCCATTTTATTTTTTTACAAGAGAGTCTTTTTGTTTGAACATTTTCTCTTCTTTTCTGGTTAAATGGGTCTAAGTTTAATAACACTGGGCAGGGAGGTGACAGTCCTTTCACCCCCTGCACACTGGGTAATATAGACATTTTCATAATGTCAGGATAGGAGACCTTGCCCCCCCCCCCCCCTACCGGCCCTTTATTCCCCATTATCACCTGTGGATCACAAGGTCTGCGGTTCAAGTCCCGCCGCGGCACTAATGTCCTTTGGCAAGACATTGATCTACATTTGCCACTCTCCACCCAGGTGTTAAATGGGTACCCGGTAGGATGTGAAAGTTAATGTGGTTAGATAAGCAAGTGTGCGGTTATACAAAATTACACCTGGCTGGAATGCTCCCCAGGGAGTGGGAAATGTGCATACAGTGTGTGCAGCTAAGCCTGAATCCGATGAGCGGGGTAATAATATATCTTTTAAGCGCTTTGAGAGGGCCTGTGGTCCTGAAATGTGCTATTAAAGAATGAACTATTATTAATATTATCTTGAGTCTTGACTAGCATTTATCTCAAGACTTCAAAAGAGAAATAGATCAGTTAAATTAAAAAAAAAGAATCAATGGCATAATTTTTTTGTTTATCTTATTTATGCACAGCTTCTTCCTTGGACATCTACCCCTCTTCAAAGAGGTTAACAAAACTGGAACAGTGATTAAAAAAATTGCTGAGTGGTAAGAAATACTCTCCTAGCTTTCAAGGGGGGGGGGGGTAAAGCATTGCAGTAATTATTTGCTACTACTAGTATACAAATATACAAAGCTGTGAGAAAGAATAGTGGAAATTATTTATCTGAGGAGGGACTGGCAAAGTACTATTTTTTCCGAGGGGCAAAGCCCCGAGGAAGAAATAGTAACTATTGCAGTCCCTCCGAAGATATATAATTTCCACTATTCTTACGAACTAAATGCTTGGTATATTTGTTTTATATCACTTTGTTACGATCCAAACGTTTGATTAATGATTGGCTGGCATTCTTGTTTTTAACTTTATTCTTATTTCACCCACATTGGGCCGGCGGTATTGGAGAAGTTTATAATCAGTTTGAATTTGTCAATTTAACCTGCGCACAATTATATTAACGCGCATTTAATGAGACGCGCTAATTGCGCATTATTTTTGACTGAACATGATGTGACGTCACAATGCTTTTCTACCTGAAAATCTCATAGAGCATGCGCAGTTCTGCCCATGAAAAAATAGTGGAAAATATTCAGAGCTCTCACAGAGATTTGTTTCAAATAGTGAAATTATATTTTATCACATGACCACCAATTGACCAATCATGTATTTAGAAAACTCATGAATATTTATAGAAGGGATATAATATTATATAACTTGGCCATGGCAAACAAAGTACATGTAAGTTATAAAACTGGACTACCGTCATGCTTATAATTGAAGCAGTGTAGAAATTATTGTTTTGTACTTCATTCCTAGGGCCCCCAGTATTGGCAAACTTAATGGATAAAGACTGTTTGAATTTCTGATTATATATTTGCAATTCAATAAACTGACTGGCAGCTTTATATACAGGCAGTGCTAAAGTACTAATCAGATTTTAGAAAATAAATTGTTGGTCTCCCCTTTTTTTATTGATAATATATAGGAACAAAGAACTGGGTCCAGTGATCTGTGTCCACGTTCTTTTCAGAACTATCATCATTTGTGCAGACTCAACAGTTATAAAGGTAACTTCTATGTAGAATTTCAGTACATTTGATGCCATTTTTGTCTTCATTTGTTCAAACAAAATTATGGTTCTGGTTGAAGTATTGTTAAATTAGCATAGGGGAGATGTTGAGGAGAATTTTTTGGGTTTTTTTATTATCCATAAATAGAGCTCCATCATTTTGCTGTCGATTTCAATTTTAATTTCAAAGTGATAATGATTTACAAATTCTGGTTGAACTATTGTTAAATTTTGAGGAGAGTTTTTTTTGTTTTTATTACCCATAAATAGTGCTCCATCATTTCACCATCAGTTTAAATTTCAACTTCTAAGTGATATTAATTATTTAATCACTTCTTAGTATGGATAGAGGAATGCCTGAGTGTATAAGGGAATAATTTATTTGTGCCCCCCCCCCTATCCTAAATTACTACACCCCTTTCAGTAAAGAACCAAAAAAAGAGAGAGAAGATATGTATGGCAAGGTTTCAGGTCAAGATTATCCCTGATACTGAAAGATTAGACATGTAATTTCACATTATTAGCATTTGTAAACCTTCATTGTATTAGACATTTGGACTAAAAACAAATAACACAGTTACACTTGTATTTCTGATACCAGTTATGACCAACATGATGTTAAAGGGGGTTTAGCATGAATAGACTACATGTATGTGTCTTTACCGTGGCCTGACTCAGGGTCAATTGGGTATAATACAACTACGGACGACGCGACCGCAGTATTCATGTGCGTGCAACATACGTGAAGCCGAAGCGTGAGCCTGAGGTGAACTTTGTTCTGTTTCGCGAACGCTAGCACGCACTGACCGTTAATCAAGTCCATCATTAATGTACAGTTGTCAAAAAGAAGTCATAGATGGTGTTAACCAGTATTTTCCATGCTACACGCCCTTTAAAGAAGTAAGGGAATGACCAGTCTGGTCATGTGATTAGATAGAAACTGGAAGCCGTTTGGGCAGTGGTGATTATGTAGTACTTAAGAATTGATGTATACTGTGACTCTGTGAGGTTTTGGTCAACATGACAATAAATTGACTCAGTTTTGCTGAAAATCACACGTATGCACTGCACACAGAAATGTGTATTATAAGGCTACATACACATGACATGAAAGTTTGGTCCCAACGTTTAAGCTACATACTGGTGTTTATTTCTCATCGTATTATGAATGTGAGGGCATTTATGAGTCGGGACATTTCTACAATAATACACTTCCAAACTAACACGAAAAGAACAAGAAAGCTCACAGATTATTTGTCATTTTTTTAACTAACCATTTTAATTAACCTTCTCTTTAAAGCAGAATGAGATGATAGTTTCTTGTACAAATGGCACCATGTGATTTTTAATCCCTTTCAATCATGATGCAATCTGAGTAATTATTTTCTCTTATGAAGGAACTTCTGACACGAAGCAAATACTTGAAAGCTCCTGATCAGTACCGTGGCTTGAAGTCTTTGTATGGAGCCAGGACCTTAGGTAATGGTCTGATCTCTGAGTTGAACCATGAGGTCTGGATGAAGAAACGTGCTCTCTTTAATCCTGCTTTCCATCGCAAGTAAGACTCCTACAGATACTGACCTTGCCTCATAAGACGAAAGGGGGGAGGGGGGAACAGTCATTTTATAATTTTTGCCACATTTTACTTTCAGCTTTTTTAACAAGTCTCAACCACAATTCCAACAATGCATATGAACCTGACAACTAGAAATCAAACACAGTTTAATTTCATCCATTGTTAATCAAATGAGAAGGCCTTTTTTGTTTAATTTGTCAAAAGTGAACATGTTGTCTTATGATGAATAGCAAAAGATCTTTTGATTATTGAACAGTTATCATCAATCTGTCCATGCCATTTTCCTGTAATTTGTTTTGATCTGTAGAAACATGGACAGCATATTAATAGCAGTGACTTCTTGATAAAAGGCTTTGTTCTGTCCTGTGATGAGGAATACAAAGTAAAATCATTCTTTGAACATTTTCAAACTCTTCTGTCAAGATAACAAATATGTACAATGTACACCTTCAAAATTTAATGTGAAGTACATTGCAAATGGGGAGTAGAGTGGAAATAGATAAAGTTTATAAAGAAATCAATTTTAATTATATTCTAAATGCATGTTTTTAAAGTTTTTGTGCCACTACATTTTGCTAAAGAATTGATTTGTGATGCCTTTTCTGCAGATATTTAATGGGCCTGATGAATGAGTTCAATAGCTGTTCAGCTAAACTGGTCAATCATTTGATCCCGTTAAGTGATGGTCAGACGGAGGTCGTCATGACCAAAGAATTTGAAAGGTTGACCATGGAAATCATTGGAAAGGTCAGTGTACTTAAAGTCCTCTTATTAACCCTGGGTCATTTGTGTATGTTGAAAACTGTGTTATCTTTCATGTTATTGAGAAATATGTCATTATGGGAAACTGAAATTGCATGGAATTGACTCTCAGTCTTAGTGTTGGTGCTTGCACAGATGTTTTTCTTAAAGGTATTACAAAGTTTTGGTAAATTTTGAAAATTGGCTGGATAGTGATTCTTTACAATTTTGATATATTTGGATGCCCCTATGAATGTATTATAAGCACTAAAAATGTTAGCCCCTAAAACTCTTCTGCTTTCGAGAAAAATTGAATATAAAAATTTACCGGTGCTCCCGGTAAATTTTGATAAATTTGAAATATCGCCTATGGCCAGACGATGGTAGCTGCGACTATAAAAAATCTCAGAATATGCAGATCTGATATATGTATTCCAAACGGTAATAGCAAATCGGTCGATTTTAGTCAAATAACATTGTTTTATAGATAAATTAATATTTAGACCTTGAGAGGGTGCTATACAAAATAAAGAGTTTATTATTTACAATTTCATCACTTTAGACTCGATTTCAACCGCGACAACGATCACTGAATATTGTAGGATTGCATATGCTTCCAATATGTTCATTTGAACCAAATTCATTACCCCATACCAAAACTTTGTATTACCTTTAAGCCTCGGTCACAAATGCCATTACGAACTGCTATTAACGCCGTACGAACGATTTTCAGACAATTCGGGAAGACAATGGAAAAATAGAGATTTGTAAGAAATTATCGTTCGTACGAACCTTTGTGACAGTAGCATTAACTGTACATTTAAACAGCCAGCTTTGTGCATAAATTAACAAATGACTTGTTTTAAATTCAGTTTGTAATGACAGTTGAAATATTTTTTGCTAACATAATATCACCATTTTCAGAATGCCATCCTTTTTTAGAAATGGCTTTGTTTAATTTGGTTTATTCTTGCATTGTCTGGGCTTTCTTTTCAATATGATGATGCAATCTTAAAATGACTTCTTGACTTCATTTGTGGTATTATGATTACGGAAGCTATCTAAACTATTGGCTAAGCTTTCTTGGACTTCTTGATCTAGAGCATACCTTGGTGTACTTTGAATCACAGCGACTGTTGTAAATCAAATGTTTCTTTGATCTTTTACGGTTCTAGGACACCTACCCCCTGGACATCCACCCTTGGATGATAACCACCTCCACACACTTAATTCATATTTTCTTTCAAACTTTTAAATCTGCCTTTTATAGGGTTTAGTAGAAATACATCTACGGTAGTATATGTGTAATTCTACTGGGACCATTTTTTCCCCATTCAGGTTACAATGTTACAATGTATGTAGCTTTAAAGTATGTATTTTGTGTTGTAAATTTTTGTAATTTGATTTTAGTATTTATTTCAAAATATTTGTGTATGTTTTAGGTTGGATTTGGATTGGAGGATGATATCATTGGGAACCCAGATTCCCCTCTTTGCCAGCTCTTTCCAAAGGTTATGTCTGGCATGCAATCTGTTTACAGACGTCCACTATTAAAGGTATGTCGGTCACAGACCACATGTCATATATCACAATCCCCAATGACTCCCCCCCCCCCCCCCCCCTCCATATCTTTGTTTCATGGGATGATAATTGTAATTGATATTTCACAATAAGATGATGATGATAGTGGCTTGTTGTATAGTGCCAGTGCCAACTTCTACTGGTTCTACTAAGAGCATCTGCACAAATTGTGTATGATTATCAAATCAACAAATACTTAGCTTCTTTATTTATGCACGTAGATTAATTATAATAATATAGTCATGGATGAACTAAATCAAAGGCATCTGATACATACAAGAAAATAAGTGAACAGTTCGGTTGAGTTAAAACGTTGTGAATATTCACATGAACTGAATATGGCCTGTTGTATCACTGAAGTCCCAATATATATGACATCGATGTCCACCCTGCCACTGTCGAGTCGGCTTGCCGAGATGCTGATTGACCTTCATGTTACCTCTAGTCCAGCAGTCGAATGCTAGCCCGGCTAGCGAGAATCCAGTTTGGGTAATTAATAGCGGCCTTGTGTCCAGGGCAAAGCCCAAAGGTATGACTGTAAAAAATGGGATTTACTCTTTCTGTTAACCACTTTAAATCTAACAAACGTAAGCCATAATAGAGATTACAAATACACATACATGTTAGAGTAGATAAATGTCTACAACCCCATCGCCTTGTTCCCGAATCTTCCGATAGTCCTTCCATTTAAAACTGTCAACATAAATGGGCCTCGGCTTGCGGCTCTCGAATTACATAACAATATATGGTACTTCACACTTATTTTACTGATGCGTACGCATCTATATTTACACAACATATTTAATGATCCGTTCCAATATTTAAATTCATGAGATATGCATCTATGGTAAAATAAGGTAAACTATAGAGTTATTGATTTATTTTAACCTTTCCCTCTTCAAACTCTAAGAACTTAGAAATTATTACTTTATAAAAACTCTGTCAACACACATAGACATTTATACTGAAATAAATGTAGTAAAGAAAACACAGATATATTTAAACTTACGTCTTTCTCCTCTGTACACGGTCCAAAGACTGCAGAGCAGCATTGGCGTGGTCCTGTAGAGGCTTGGTTCTCCCTTGTGGCTTATAAAGGATATTAAGATGATTTCTAAGAACAAATACCCATTAGCCTAACACGTTTTCACCAAGCTCAAACCACGCCCTGTGTACACTCTGCCTACGTGGTTCAAACCTTGCCTTCAACTCACATAGCAACAATAGGCAACTACATGCTTGAACGCATCGCATTCCTTTCCGTAAACACCTGATTGCGGTTTACTGGCCTTTATAGCTTGCGCATTTTGACACGCTCTAACTGCAACATTTCTTGACATATTTCATTCAAATTTCTACAGAGATGCTTTATACTATAATCTACACACATATTGTTTTGGTGAGGCTGCTCCTAGTCTTGACAATTGTTCGAGCCACTAGCGGCGATCTCTACGTCTTCCTTTTGTTTCAGGGAGGGGAGAGGGGATCTTTGTCCCTCCTTCAAACATAAGGATGACACAAAATTGCTGGCACTGCCGGGGGATACATTTGCATTGCGCGGCAATACAGATTGCGATATTTCTAGTTCTTTTAGAGTTATCTACTGCTGCAAACAGAATTGGTAAATATCTAAGTTATGATGGGGATAGGATAGGGATACATTCATGAAAATTTGATACATTAGAAATGTATCTTTACTCATTAAGCAAAAAGAAGTTATGTTCATACATGTAAGTGATCATCTTAATTTGGATTTCAGGTTCTGCACTTCTCGGGCTGTTTATTTTATACAGTGTTTCTTTTCAAGATGATTGGATAAAACCAACAGGTTGGGTTAGCTGTATATTAATAATGTATGTGTTTATTAATGTATTCTTACTTTACAGTACAGCATCCTTCCCAAAGACATCAAATACAAACATGAGGTTCAAGCTGCAGCTAATGAGATCCGAGCGGTGGGTCGGCGTTGCATCTTGGCTCGTATAGATGCTCTTAGACGGGGTGACCAAGTTCCTCAAGACATTCTAACTTACATCCTGCAGGAGTCAAACAACTTGGAAGGAATCAAAGACTTTGACTTAGAAGATATGGTCGATGAGTTTGTTACCTTTTTCGGAGCTGGTAAGTTTTTTTGTGCACCATCTTGCTTTTCTTATTCTTATAATAAACTGATTTAGTGGTCAGCTCTCTGTCTCTACCTTTAATCCAATTCTTATAACTCCAGTTTCAAAACTGCGCTACATCTTTTGAATGATGACTTTAAGTGTGAAGCATTGGTACTGATCTTCTAATCTTCCGTTGACGGTTTTGCACATTATACACTTTTTCTGAAGTTGTTTCTGAAGTTTATCAGGTAAATCTGCTTTTACAGTATGAAAGTTTAGCAAGGAAGTTGATATAAATGTTTTTGGAAGTCAGGTTGATCTCTTTGTAAGTTGTAGATTGGTGTTTATATCTACCATCTAGTGTTGAATGCTACAATGTTGAAAGATATATCATTTCAATGATATTTGTACCCACCAGGTCAGGAAACAACATCCAACCTTCTCTCCTTCACTCTTCTTCATCTTGGTAGAAATCCTCAAGTCTTGAAAAAGTGAGTATGGTATCTTCAAATAGATGTACCTTCCCTATAAACTGCAGAATTATCCTATATAAAGTGATCAGAACTATTTTTAGGGATCAAATCAAAAATAGGCTTAAAGGGATCGTTGAGTTCTTGTTTAAGACCGCAAATGCCTTCAAAGTCATGTTTATTGCTCTTAGTCTTACTTATGACATTTCTAGTGCCCTTTTAGAACCTAATATTGCTATGAAGGAAAATGTAGGCCCCAAAATTTGTGAATTTAGATTGAATACGATCATACCAAATCAGCTCCACTTTTGAAAAGATACGGTGAATGTTAGTTAATTAATTAATGATAACAATACACGGGCCAGCTGGTTGTGTGTATTATAACAAACACGAAGCCAATATTGGCATTGGCTGGATTAAAACGTGTAAGGCGCTATCTTGTTTTTCAATGACTGGTCAAAATTACCCAATATTTGTGGGGCTCCACAAATATTAGAAATGGATATTTTAGCTGTCTCTGAACCGATTTTGATCAAACAATGATGACTTTGTCTTTTAAATTGTATATTCTTTCAAATTTGACACTCATTATATCACAAAAAAGTTATTTTGTGTAGCGCCCTCTGCAACAAAACTCAACAATCCCTTTAAATCATTAAGAGATTTTCACTCATTTTTTTCCCCCTTCATCAGAGCTCTTGAATGTTTTATTTAGTTGGTTTCATTGCAATGGCTGATAAAGTAATCAATGATGAAGTTTGATTAGCAGTATCAGAAATTTATATTTAAACGTAGAATGGCTTTGTTTCCTGATTGAAGTCAAAATTACTCTTATAATGGGCAAGTTTGAAATTGCAATAATTTTCTGATTTACTACCGAAATTCGTGTTTCGAAACTTTTTCTGGTATTCATTAAATTTCTTAATAAAATTAACAATATATATAGGATTTATTGAAATCAAATCACATAAAAAACCAAGAACACACAGTCAGAAGATTGATACCTGTCTTGGGAACAATATAAAATTTAAATCAAGTATACGTAATAAAACCGCAGAAACGAATACATAAATAAGTTACATAAGTTAAAATATCAAACAACTATTATCATTGAATATTGCAAAAAGGACATATAAACAATAAGTATACATCATTACAATTACATCAATAAAGGACTCTCAAACTGTGCAATAACTAAATCAGGCACAGACCGAGAGTCTAAAGAAGAAAAAACAAACAAGCAGAAGACTATATAAAGGGGTTTATAAAGATTAAGGGCTGTTTTTAAGACTGAGGGTACGGTGGCTTGATTCATACTAGGATTATCAATGTGAGAAATAATCGGGCCAAATATCGGAGCGCAATCTTTTAAAAGAATGGTAGGAACTGGATCTAATGGACAAGATTTACAAGGCAATTTACGAAGAAGGGAAAGAATTTCATCTGCGGTGGTATGTTGAAAGGTCCTCGGTGTGGAAGAGGTGATAGGTTTGAGTGGTTTAACATTTGGATTAAAACTATCTCAGATTTTTAAAACTTTTACACAGAAGAACTGAATAAACGTTTCAGCCATGGAATTGCCATCAACATTTGAGGGCAATGGAGAAGACTGTTTGCAGTTCAAGAGTCGATTGGTGACATTGTAAAGTTTCTTGTGATCATCACCGCAGTCATCGATGAGTCTGGTGTGAAACGAACGTTTCGCCTCGGAGACAAGGTAGCTCACCCGGTCGCTCTGAGCACAAACATCTCTCGGTCAATCTGTAGCTTTCCATTATCGCGCCATTTCCTCTCAAGTCTCTGCCGCTCTTTCTTCGCTTCAGTGATGTCATGGTTATACCAAGGACTGTCTTGATGAGATCTTACTTTCTGAGTCCTGGCTGGAGCATGGGAGTTCAGTAACCTGCAGAGTTCTGAGTTTTAGCGGATAACGGCAGCATTCACGCTCTCTGTTGCTGAAGACATGATGCTACTGTTATTGACATCGTTGGCAAAATCATTCATGTTGATGCCCTTAATATTATGAGAGGAGAAAGTTGCATCTTTCCGTTTGGGCTTGTCAAAACGGAGCGAACAGGTAACAGCAAAGTGATCAGAGATACCGGGTATGACGCGTATATGATCCTTTCATATTACCAAACTGTTGATTATCAATTTTACTCATAATATCCTGATATAACCATTTAGTAAGAAATGCTTCAAATACCTTTGCAAAGGTAGGGGTGAGTGATATTGGTCTTAGTTGGTCAACAGTATTACATGGTGTACTCTGAGGGATTGGAACAATGTCTGAAACCTTCCTACAATCCAGGAAGATCCCTGTTTCTAATCATTTATTAAAGATCATAGGCAAAGGACCTGCTATCTCAGGAGTGAATTCACAGATAAGTCTTGTGGGTAGGTCATCATGGTGTAAGGACTTAGATGGTTTGAGTTTGCACAGCTCACGATACACTTGATAAGCTTCCATGCTGGGAGGAGGATGTGAAGCAGGCGAGAAAGCCGGTAGAGAAGACCTATCGGGCGGAAGTAACTGACAACAAATTTCTGAGAAATGGTTATTGATAAAACTTGCTTGCTCAGACAAGCACATTTCATTACCAGGTAGACTTGTTTTTCATCCAGGTGATCTTTCGTATTTGATGATGCCAATTACTTGGACGACATTTCTGAAGATCTTTCACCTTATTTATAAAGCGCAACATATCCATCTCTAGAGATGCTCAAGGCGCATTAATTTACCGCCTTAACAATTATTGTGATGTGTTTTTTCTAGTAGAAATATTACTGATACCTTTTGATCTTAAAGAAATTTGTTTATTCAACTAAAGGGTATTTATAAATCCTTTTGATTTTTTTTTTTTTACCCAGACTCCGTGATGAAATTGATACTGTATTGAAAGGGAGAAACTATGTTGAATATTCAGAGGTCAGCAAGATGAAGTATCTAACCTTGGTAAGACTGTAATTCTTTTCTGTTTACATCAAGACGTTACACTTTTTGTTATGAACTGTAGGACCAAAGTTTCATTCACAAAACTGATGTCTGATGAAGACACAAAACTATGATCTTGGGGGACAGTAAAAAAAAAAAAAAAGGTGTCTTACTTATGGCTACCATTCGTAGGCCTTGCTGTGGCATCAATGTGTATAATTTAAGTTCTGGATTTCCTAGTTCATAAATATACTTCTTAAAAATGAATCCCCAAGAGTTTTGAACCTTATTCCATGCACCTGTTACATTACAGGGCATTTATTTACAGGATATGTATATATGATTCTAAGTGTCCTTTCAGCTTTGAGGAAATCTATTTTTAATCTACTGCGATAGAACGCTGAAAGTTCTTACCAAAGGGTAATAATGCAAAGCGCTTAGAAACTTGGACATTTAATTCCTGATGTATTAAATGCTATATAAGTTAAAATATTATTTTTATGCCTCCGTTACGAAGTAGCCGGAGGCATTATGTTTTCGGGTTGTCCGTCCGTCCGTCCGTCCGTCCGTCCGTACGTCTGTACGTACGTCTGTACGTACGTCCCGTTCTTGTGATCGCGTTATCTAAAGAACCGATTGATGGATTCCTGCCAAACTTTGGTAATGTATGTATCTTGCAGAGCCGATGAACTGATTAGATTTTGGGGTCACGAGGTCAAAGGTCAAAGGTCACAGGGCTCATTAGGTATGCAAAAACAGCTCGTGATCGCGTTATCTGAAGAACCGATTGATGGATTGCTGCCAAACTTAGGTCATGTATGTTACTTGCAGAGCCGATGAACTGATTAGATTTAGGGGTCATGAGGTCAAAGGTCAAAGGCCAAAGCGCACATTATGTATGCAAAAACAGCTCGTGACCGCGTTATCTCAAGAAGCGATTGATGGATTCCTGCCAAAATTAGGTCATGTATGTTACTTGCAGAGCCAATGAACTGAGTAGATTCTTGGTTCATAAGGTCAAAGGTCAAAGGTCATGGGCTCATTATGTATGCAAAAATAGCTTGTGAACGCATTCTCATTAGAACTGACAGATGGATTACTATTTAACTCAGGACATCTTGCAGAGCCAATGAACTGAGTAGATTTTAGGGTCATGAGGTCAAAGATCAAAGGGTCATATATGTATATGAGAAATTGCTTGTAATCACGATTTTCTGAGAACCTGTCAATGGATTACAATTGAACTTGAATTCGAAAAATTTCTTCTGTTTTGGTTTGTAAAATTGCTCTATGACGGAGGCATCATTTTCGACTGCGCGCAGTCGAATTCCATCTAGTTATTATTATATTATTGACTGTCTTCTTTTTCAGGTTTTGAAAGAGACTCTTAGAATGAACCCTCCTGTTGGTATGTTGAATAGAGTTTTACCTTATGAGATGGATCTATGTGGATACAAAGTACCTAAAGGCAGTACCGTATTGGTAAGTATGTATATCCACAGTCTTCCCCTGGTGTCTTCAATTACTTCCTTTAATTATATTGATCTTTTTCCTCATTATGTAGTCCATGTACCATTGTAAGTCATGTTGAGTGTACATTTAATATACAGTAGAAACTTCATTATAACAAATTTCTTATGGCCAAAGAAATGACCTTCTTGTATCAATTTGTTTAATCAGGGATGACAAAGAACAGAATACAAAGCAATGGGACCAGCAAAATTAATCTGATATAAGAAGAGGTTGTCATACACAGTGTTCTTGATAACTTCCTCTGTATTTCGTTTCTGTCTTGCCCACTATAATTTTGTATTATAATGTGTATGATTATGAAATTAATCCAAGCATTTTTTTTACAATTCCTATTACTCTCTTTCTATTCAGATGCCCATATATGGAATGGGTAGGGATGAGAAACATTTCAAGAATCCAGAGAAGTTTGATCCGGAGAGATTCACAAGAGATGAAGACAGGTAGGAATAAAATCAATTGTAATGTCAAAGAAAAATCTTATATTTATTAGTGTTAGATGGAGAAGGAAAAAAAAATCTATGAAATTTATTAATATATTTCATAACCATTTCTTTGCTTTGTTTTGATCATCTCTGACCTTCTAAAATTAAATTTAATGAAAAATATATATATATATAGAATGGTATTATATATGTGACCCGGCAACACAAAACCCCAAAACAGTCACATCGTGTGATTTTCAGTTTGAGCTTTATAAATATGAAATATTATACTGAAATTATATGAAATTGTACTTTATTTGCATTTTGTGAAAGAATATACTTTTGATTTCAAAATTTATAAACACTAAACAATCTAAAATAGGTATTTAGGCATGTTTTGTAGAGCTATGTTTGCCTCATTTTGAGTCCGTCTAGTGTTGTAATTTTCATTTCTTTACAACCCTGGCCCACTGGTCTCATTTGTATCTCCTACAACCTTGAAATAGAGTAAGCTGTGTATTGATATGTAGACAAAATAGAGAACAGGATGTGCCTATTAAACTGATGTTACAAGATTTAGGATAATCGGTTTATCCCTTTTCAAAAATTTCTATATAGTTTTAATCCTCCTGTTGTCACCTCACACAACACCTTGGGAGTAAAAGTGCTTCAATAGACTGCATACTTCAACCTCTTCTCCAAGGAACATTATTTCGGAATTCAAAATTTTCTCGCTTTTTAGTAGGTTTAGGAACTTTCAATTTTGATGAGCTATAAATATATGATTCTAAAGCTGAGAATCTCCTCTTAGCCAAATCAAACATATAGCGACTTTTTAATGGTTTGTGGTGCTGGGTCACATAATTGACACACACTTGAAAAATGACGTCTCAATAATCGTTTTATAAAAATGTTAATAAATCTCAAATCAGTAAAACAGTAAAAATTGACTTTAAAATATATCTTTTTCTGATGATAGGAATTACTCCAACCTATGTTGTATCCAATAGCTTTCAAAGCCAATAGGAGGAAACTAACCATAAATTTAGTCCTAGTGCAAGAGGATATACAAGAAAAATACATCAATTTTCTTTTCTCCACGAAACATGTGGCCTTGACCAGCTGTCTGTACATGTATATCTATTACCTTATATTGTGAACTTTATTTTTTGATCTTGCAGCCCCTTATTTGCGTACATACCATTTTCTCTGGGTGCTCGATCCTGCATTGGCCAGACGTTTGCTATGGTGAGTAAATCAGTCAAAGTAGCTCAGTCTACAGGCCGAACCCCCCCCCCCCCCCCCTCCCCCTCCCCCTTCCCCCTCCCCCTCCCCCTTCCCCCTCCCCCTCCCCCTCCCTCAAGGGCAATATAAATCCCATAGCAGTGCAGAGTTGTAAAACATGAATTTTTTGATGAACTTGTATGTCCTGAACCTCTTTTTTTGCATTATGGAATCGTGAACATAAGTTGATATTACAATATGGTATTTATTATTTGATGTTTTATATGAATCATGCTTTATGATGGCTGTTAGCTTGATACAGTCATCAGATGAACAGAAATCTTTGATGTGATCGTAATCAATATTTATTTTCCTCTCATCTCTTGTAATGGTAATGAATGAAAAACAAAACAAACTTATTTTCAATTGTTTTTTGTATCCATCAACTAGGATATATTTTCAACCATTGATGCAGATTCCTTTTGTAATTTTGATTGTATTCCTATTAGATTGAAGCCAAGGTGGTCATATGTAAGCTCATTCAGCAACTGGAATTCCAACTTGTACCCAACCAGAGCTTTGAGTTTGTACAAGAAGTCACTCTTAAGCCCAAGGATGGCTGCAAAAGTTACATCACAATGAGAAACCTGTGACATCACAATGAGAAACCTGTCACATCACAATGAGAAACCTGTCACATCACAATGAGAAACCTGTCACATCACAATGAGAAACCTGTCACATCACAATGACAAACCTGTGACATCACAATGAGAAGCCTGTGACATCACAATGATATTATGACACATTTTGTGATATATGTTATTGTTTTATATTGGGGGTTTGATGTATTATGTTTAGACACTTACAGGGTACAATTTAACTACACTCACCAAGGAGCACTCTAGCCACTAGACATTGTGCAGTTGTGCACATACTAACTCAAGTTACCATGATATTTGGATCACTCTGGATATGGTACCCTTTATGCACCTTGGTAAGGAGAAGTAATGTAGATGAAGATGCTCTTTCATGACAACACAAGTATAGTGCCAGAATAGTGCCAAAACTCAAACCTGTGGATATGGATCTCGAGTCAAAAATCGCAACAACTCTCCTGCAATACGTATACACAATGTAAAAGGGGGGGGGAGAGGGGGGTATGATACCAGGGCCATTTTAAAAGAGTTGTGACTGATGTGAGTCAATCAAAAGTCTTCCAACCTATAATAAAGATCCAATCTCCTATCTCGTAGTAAGCTTATATAGTCAATTTGAATCAATAGCAACTCTATTTTAAGATAGGTCCTGCCCAGAAAGTTTAACAAATTAGATGTGCTCATATATATGTGCAAATGATAGAAAGAGGCTTTTATTTATTGAATAATCCATGGAAAGAGGCTGTTATGTTTTATATTGAAAGGGAGATTACATATATTGCATGGTTCACTAACACATACAAATATTACAGGGGCAAATTTTCTATAGTTACATGCATTAGTTTTTCTTCTTTGCTGCTTATGATATGTATCATGTGAGAATGTTTGAATAATTTATTTTTTGATAGTTGTTAACATGTACATTTTCTTAAGACTTAGCAATAGCAACTCTATTTTAAAGGTAATACAAAGTTTTGGGAAATTTTGAAAATTGGGTGGATAGGGATTCTTTACAATTATGATACATTTAGATGCCCCTGTGGTTGTATTATAAGCACTAGAAAATTTAGCCCCTAAAACACTTCTGCTTTTGAGAAAAATTGAATATAAAAATTTACCGGTGCTCCAGGTAATTGTTGATAAATTTCAAATAGCGCCTACGGCCGTACAATGGTAGCTGCGACCATGAAAATTTCAGAATATGTAGGTGTGATATATAATTTCCAAACGGGAATAGCTAATCGGTCGATTTTAGTCAAGAAACATTGTTTTATAGCTTAATTAATATCTTGACCTTGAGAGGGAGCTATACAAAATAAAGATTTTATAATTTACAATTTCATGACTTTAGTCTCGATATCAACCGCGACAACGATCATTGCATATTGTAGAGTCACATATGCTTCCAATATGTTCATTTGAACCAAATTCATGACCCCATACCAAAACTTTGTATTACCTTTAAGATAGTTGCTCATATATATGTGCAAATGAGAGGAAGAGGCTTTTATTTATTGAATAATCCATCTAAAGAGGCTGTTATGTTTTATTTTGAAAGGGAGATTACATATATTGCATGGTTCACTAACACATACATATATTACAGGGCCAAATTTTCTATAGTTACATGCATTAGTTTTTCTTGTTCGCTGCTATGATATGTACCATGTTTGAATATTTTATTTGTTGATAGTTTGTAACATGTACATCTTCTTAAGACTTACAAATATAAGTCCTATATTGTATTTTACCAGAAGTTACCTCATTACCTTGAAGGTTGTTTTCTTTAAACATACCCATTTTCCTGTTTGGCCTATACTTGTCAAAATAAACAAGTTTGTAGGAAAGTTATGGAAATTTGCTTGATCTTCTATCGTGTCTTCCAATTGCATTTATCAATCAATAGACAATTATATATTTGTTGTTCTAGTAGCAGTAAGTGAAACTGTATTCTGATCGGTAGGAGTCACAATAAGAATTGATTATATATTTGTGATGCATACCAGATCAGAGAAAACTAATCAAGAATCCTCTGACATATATACAATGTGCAATACAGGCGACATGAAGCAACGTAAAGTACTAGTAGTCAAAGTACACTGATGAGTTACATGCAGTGTTTCAATTCCGAAGCCTTGTATCCTAATCATCAGCTGAATATTTTGTGCTTTATGTATATATCTTGGGCATCCATAGGCTTTTATTCAGATATAATGAGGTGAATTTTTTTATTTTTTAAAACATGCTTTGTATTTCTGTATCTTGTAGTTCACAGAGCTCATTGAATGTGCTTAGGACCTTTATTGAGCGCAGTTGTCATTCATTTACACCTTGTTTAAAAAAATGCTGCAGTTTATTTCATTTCATTTATTATGTCCATAGAGGATAATTGTTCATATTTACATTTACAAACTTGCTTCACAGTAATTTCACAAGTACAACTTATAATTGACAATCATAAGTACTTAATTAAATACATGTGAATTGTATTTTTTGTTCTCACAATAAATACATACTTCATGTTTGTCTGAATTTTGTTCAACCTCGTTTCTGATTTAGTCTCAAGGCCCTGTTTTTACTATATGCTCAATATACATGATCATGATGAATATACTTTTTTACTTTTTTCCTTCTTTCTTCTTTTTCTTCTTCTTCATCACTTTATATCTGAATGATCCTTTAGGGATAGAGTTCTCAAGTCATTTTACTGATATGCATTACTCCCTAGCTGCAATGACCCTCACAAAATAAAGTAGTATGAGGCCAATTGAGCAATGGCCTCATCATAAACAATCTGTTTGCCTTTATTAGCTGAAATATACACCTCTCTGACGCAAAAAGATGGAAATTAAGGCCCGTTTCTTCAACATTCAACAACAAATTATTCTTTCTTTGATTACAAAAAATATATTACAAAGAATTTGTAAACAAAGTTTGTTTTAATAGGCTCTTGGTGTTGGTAGAGCTACCAAGTACTCCAAGCAATGTTATGTGGAAATAGAGGTTCAGAGATACCTTGTGATATTTTTATAGAAATTGATACATGTGTTATCTTTGTATATAGGACAAAATATTTTTTGTCTAATTTATAATATTGTCTGTGTTCATTATAATCCAGGTCTTTCATTGGTGTAACCTAATGTTTATTGATTTTTTATTAAAATTAGTTTTATTTTAGATCAATAACATTTAGTAATACAAAAGTATATCATATGAACTAAATATTGATGACAATTCATTGTCTTTGTTAATAATATTGTATTTTAACTAGTATTATTTGAAACAATTGTGAAAGAAATATGATATGTTTTTAACTGTAAATTGTCATGCAATTCAGCCCAGACTGCGAAATGATGATATTAATATACTGAACTGAACTGATTTAGATGTTATTCATTGGGATAGTCCATGATAAGAAATAATTTGTTATACTTTATTTTAAATCAGTTAAAAAAATAAAAAGAATAGTAACTGTATTTAATTGTTATGAAGTTTCCTTAATATAATTGAAACCATCATGACCTTTAATTAAATATCAGCCAACCAGACCAATAATGATATCTGCTGTTTGTTATTGGCTGTGAAGATATGTGTTGTGTGCAAAGTGATACACTTGCTATGGAGTGTACCATTGGCATTTTCTTGTTTTGCTTGTCAGAGAAACTTGTAGCTAAATTAAGTAGCACACTAAAAACTTGGTGGTGGTAAAGATGGTGATGGGGATGGTGGTGGTAGTGAGGATGATGATGATGATCACTGGTGATGGTGATGATGATGATGATGGTGATGATGATGATGATGATGAAGGTGATAATGATAATGTAGATGATGATGATCGATGGTGATATACACTGTTGGTCATAATGGTGGAATAATTATTTTTACCCCAGTTAAGGGAAGGATTTTAAAAAATTATTTATTTCTAATAGATCTAGATAATGGCATACATTCTCAGATTTTATTGAATATTAATTTGCGAGTGTTTGTTTTGCGTGACTGCTTAGTCATATGTGTGCTACTATGCTAATGAGCTAGGGAACCCCCGTCCTTAAATCATAATTGACAGTAATGAGGATTAATGCCTCACATAAGGGCACTATAATATAGCTGATCGACACGATTTTTATCCTGGGGCCTCACAGTAACTAGGCCATTGCTTAGCCCCTGAATCATGACTGTACGCAGTGTTTGCTAGGGTACGCGGCCGCCCCCACAAAATGATTGATTGATTTTTATTCGACAAGCTTCCAATATACAACAATATACAATAATAACAGATCAAAAATAAGTCAGCTTGAACAGGATAACCCACGAAAGCTCGAGAGCTTATTTCCAGTGGGGTCCCTTACAGACATGTATACAATTAATAAATTAAAATAGTAATATTTACAGACAGATAAGAAAATTAAAAGAACTACTTATTAAAGATAATAATAACAACATTAAACTGATGATAGAAATGATATTAAGTACAAGAAGAAAAAGAAGAAGGAGAAGAAGAAAAAGAGGAGAAGGAAGAAGAGGAAAATAATGATGAATTTGTAGAATTTCTATAACGTACGAAAACATAAGTATATACAACATGAAAAAGTATGAACCGACAGAAGAATAACAATTTCAATCATATAACATGTCATTCACTTCTCTTCTCTGACTGTCAAGTATTAGGTATTCCTTTAATTTCCTCTTAAAATGATCATAGTTTCCTATTTCTTTTACACCATTGGGAAGGGAATTCCAATGTTTTATGGCATTGTAATAAAACGAATTTCCAATACTACCTACTCTTTCTGGTAAGTTAAAGTTGAATCGTCTATTTCTTGTATTATAATCATGTACGTCAGTAACAAGATCGAAGTTGGATCGAATATAATGATTCGCCCTAGTATGATATATTTTATGCACGTGATGCAATGCGAGTTGTTTTGATCTTTGGTCGACTTCAAGAAAACCAGCTTTAGAAAGTTCGCTATAGCCAACATGAGTTCTTGGACCAGAACAGTTGATAAATCTCACCATTTTGTTCTGTATAATCTTCAACTTCTTTTGATCTGACTTGTTTA